CGGAGGAACTCCCAGTCCAGCTTGCTGTCCAGTCTCTGTCTTCCATCGTTTGGCTCCGGACACGCGATACCAAGAGCGAAAACTCCACCAGCCAATAACAGTCTCTCTCCCAAGACAAGCCGTCACTCCCTCCGCTCAGTGTTCTCTTGTCCGGCTGCCTTGACTCCAACAACCTCAGCAGGCCGTCCGCAGACCGCAGGCAAGGACTACCTATCCCCTGAACCGCGACTTCATGGCGCAGCCCATCACCACCTCCATCGGCCACACGGCCTACACACCACAGGAATCCATGACACCTCAACTTCTCCCACCGCGAGACGCGGCTCTCGAGACTCAGCGACCTTACAACCGTCTTCCCCCAGGTCTGAAACCAGCCATATCTACAAGTCAATACTCCATCATCCACACCACCCACGCCACAAGCCCCCATCCCCAGACCCGCATGCACACTACGCACTCACAACTCGCAACTCCTTCCTGACCGAAGGCCCCGGAACGCGCTTCCCCATCGTCGAGTCAGCCGCCGCTCTCTCCTCTGTTGACGCCGTGACCGCGTTCGGCGAGATCACGCCGCCGGACGTTCTCGGCGAGCTGCCGAGGCCGCGAGCGCAGCTGCGCAGGAAACCACGCTTCTCGCGCGACAAAGATGGAAGGCTTGAGGGATACCCGAAGGTTGTGGTTGGCGAACGGAGCGCGCCTGCGTCCGACTCCTCATCTGCTATTGCTCAGCCGGGTGACAGTCCTGGGAAAGAGGCACAGCGCCCGCAGCCAACGTCCTGTGACCCAGCAGAGCAGACCTCAGGCGACGAGTCCAGCTCCCAAGACACTGTCCCTCTTCTCAGGGGCGGCGCTGGCCCATCTGATGGCCGTGTGCCGCGCGTGCTATGGTTCACGGCTGGCGGTATAGGGAGGAGGCCGATAATGCCGGAAATCAACCTGTCGAGTGAGGAAAGAGAGAATGTGGTCAGGGGCGGCTTGATGGGGCTGCTGTTTGGTGGGCTTAGGAGAACTTCGACGAGTGGGTCTGATCAGGGCAAACCAGAGGAGAGTAGGAAGGGCGAAGCGGCTGGAGCAGATGCTAGGGCTGATGGTAGTGCTGGGGCGGATGCTGTTGCTCCAGCTGCTGATGGTGATCCCCCGGCTACGAGTGGTGCGCTTCCAGCGCCGTGATAGAGTCTCTTCTACCACTCGGAGCGTCTTGGTCACTTAAGCTCCAACTATCCTGTTCTTATACCATAGAGCACCACCGTGTCATGATTTGTTACGGCGATGATCGGCGGGATTACCTAGACACTCATGATTGTATGTCGAGCGGTAGACTCCCTAGAATTCTTGGAGAAATGACACACGAAGCAGTAATAATACATGAGCTGTTCTCCCAGTATCTTCTCTCAAGTGCGAAACCGTACCACTGCATTCTTTCTGCGTCCTAGCTGTGCTGATTCAAGACAAATCCGAGCGTCCAATGGGCTCCAATAGCAAACAAGACAAACCCCCAGCATACGTATCTCTGCAACGCTAGTCAAACTACACGATAGTAACAACTCTAACGCGCAAATCACAAACATGAAACTCTTGAACCCGTTCCCTCAACAGCTATCTACCTACCTACCTGACCCCTCAGCCCCTCCCCCTTCCCCCTCACAAATCAACATACATCCACGGTCCCACCCCCCCAACCCCATCAACTCCTTCAACCCTCCTCACCGGCACATAATCTCCCCTCCCCTCATCCCACACAACCGCCTCGCCCGTCCCGCCTCTGACCCTAAGCCACAGCCCCGACATTGGATCCTTGAATGCCTCGCTCCACCTTCCCGGCTCCACAGCACCCACATAGCCAGGCGCGAGGATCTGCGGGTGAGGCTGCAAGGGCGGGGGCGCATAGCGTCCCGGTAGGGTGGCGAGAGCGTGTGGGTGGAGCGGAACCGGGTACCCGATCCCTGGTACTGGTCCTGGTACTGGTCCTGGTGCTGTAGGCCAGCTCGGGATTGTGGGCAGGGCGCCGTACAGCCCCGCGAGGTTCCACACGTCCTTCGGCAAGGGCAACGGCGCGTAGCCGAGGGTAGCAAAGTGTTCCTGGGCCTTTGCTACGTCTTTGGCGAGCGGCTCGGAGGCGGCACAGAGGGCGGCGAAGGACGGACCATCGTCATTGTCCGATTTGAAGGACTGGAGCGCCTGGAGATTGGAGGTTGTCAGGAAGGCGTGAGTGGGTTTCGGGGTTGTGTGGCGTTTTAGGAAGGAGAGAGCCCAGTCGCGGAGGGTAGAGTCGGGGGAGGGCGGATCTTTCTTATCCTTGTCCTTGACCTTGTCCTCGTCTTTGGAGACGGCGAAGGCGTAGAAGGTCTTGGGGTCATAGATCTCCTTGAGTGCAGCTACGGGATCATTGTGGGTGAAGTGTTGGTCGTTGAGGCGCTTGAGGGCTGCTTTGGAGAGCTCGTCGAAGCCGACCGCTTTGCCGAGTTTGTACATTTGAATGTCTGGAACGAGGTACTTCGTGGAGTCCTTCTCGTATGTGCGGATAATGGGAGGGCCCTTGCCATCCTTTTCCTGGACTCTGGAGATGTCTGGGCCATATGAGTGCTGGAGGACAAATTTGCAGAACATGAAAAAGACATCCCCAGGGATTGCAGGGATTCGCAGCTCCCGCTTGTCGTCCGCGAAATGCTTCCTTAGAGAGTCGTGCTTCTCGGCTCGGTAGCGTGGGATTGTCACCGCTTTCTCGTCGTAGATGAACTCGACCCAGTCTTCTGCCGGCGTAGCCATTTCACGCGGTGAACCAACCAGCGCGCCATCGACCGTGACACAATGTACGGTTGTCTCGCGCTTGTACGCGGGCTCGCAGGTCTTGGAGTACCAGCTGTCGGCGTCGGCTGCCTCGATGGTCTTGATGTCTGTCTGGCAGTCACTGCAGTCCAGATCTAGATCCCGGAGGCCGACTAGGTCATAGCCGTACTGCAGCCCTCGGAGATGTCCTTGCCAACCGTCATACAGAGGATAAAGCGCCTTCTGGCCGAAGTTCAGAGGCAGTGCATGGCGTGAGCTCTGCGCCTTGGCAGCCGCGTTCTTGATCTCGTACATGATTGCGCCAAAATGTTTCCCGTGGTCGAGACGTTCGTCCGTACCCTCCTTTGTCTTGGTTTGTTTGCACACTGCGAGGAAATATGCGTGGATCATCTGGTGAAGGAGGCTGGCAATGATGTCGTCCTGTGATCCGTTGCGGAGGACGTCCGCGTTGAGGCATATGGTGATGGTGGGCAGATCTGGCGAGATGAAATCTGGCTTGAACGTAGCACCGGTGACGTCTCCGGGCAGATGGTCCCATCTCAGACGAACATGCCGCTTCAACTTGTCCGCGAAGATGACTTTCTCGAAGACGTGGAAGGCGTTTACGGCGTGATCTCTCAGACGACCCTGGACGGTATGTGGTGATCGGGCTTCACGAAGTGTGCGCATGGCTATGCGAGCGTTGTCCGAGTTGCGCAAATGGTCCCGGAGAAAGCAGGTGGCGTGGTTCAACGACCATGCTGGTTGATCCTCTGGACCCAGTAGCTTCTGGGCTCTTGAAGGCACTAAGTGATCGTACATATAGTGGCCACGAGGCGCCGAAAGGGACCGTGGATGCGGACAACACAACTCGGCATCCGAAAGGCCCTGACCTTGGTATGCGACGGTATACATAGCTGAGGCTTGCAATGAGCTGTTGTTGTCTTCGAACTCGTGGGAGCTGTAACCGTGGCGGGTAGAAAGCAAAGCCATGTCGCTGCGATCACTTATAATCTGAACGATAACTGTGATCCACACCCTCGGCAAGCTCGAAACGGTGTCGAAACCGTGGCTGTTGGAATGTCCAGAGTGTACGACTACGACACGTCAGATAGTAGCGGGTATGATGCGTTTGCCAACACTTCGTCCGACGCTGTATCCCTTACCTAAGCCGGAGATTGCAAGCGCTTGAATCGCGCAGTTGTAGATTGGGCATCTAAGACGGCGTTGTTCAGTCTAGGCATTGCAATCCTGACGCCTGACCTTATATGAAGATGAGATAGTGTTGTTTGCCTTCAAAGTGCGTTGACAGGGCCTGTATGTGATCTGCGCATCGCGTGGAGTGGGCTGCGGCAAGCTACTGGCTGGCTGTGTTACACTTGTCGGATACTTGCACACGGGACCTTAGTAAATCCCCGGGGAGCTGGAGACGGCAAGTCCGGGTGAACTATGATTTGGTGGAGATAAAGGCCATGAGAGTTGTCAATAAATGAAGAATATGACATCCTGCGGGAAATTCATACCGATCTTGGTATGGCTGTGAACAGAGTGTTTTGGCCGAAGAGGAGTGTCTTTTGGTACAAGGCCAAACGACACAGCTCGGGAAATCACGAGTGTCCAAGATCGGAACTTGACACAAAAAGGGAGGCCTGTCCTTCGACCAATAGCCCGTGAAGCCGAGAAAATGCAGTTGCTCTAGAATTTACAGAATGGCGACCTCGAGTCTCGTAATAGGCTGACGCAGGTAGAGTAAAGGAAATGCCAGTGTTTGGGATGCCGTCCACTGAAATGGCTCTGACTACCCACGTTTGTCCAGTATGGCAATATATAACCTCCGAACCACGATCGTTGCCCAACCGCAAGGAAATAGCACGCAGCCTCTACTTAAAGCATTAGAGTTGTGAACTGATCGTCCAGAGTACCTCCCAATCGTCGCTTAGTAGCCAGGCCGGCGGTCGAATTCACCACTTCGGCTCCCACCATCACCGTAATGCTTTTTCCTCAAAGCCGCCAGCCTCTTCTTCTTGGTGTGCGCGTTGATGTAAGTTCCGATGACGAAAGCCACCATGTTGAAGAATGGTACCCAGGTCTGTTCCGGCAGGAACTTCTGGGCGAATGCAAGCGCAATTGGAGAGGTGATCCAGCTGACTTTCATGACGGGCATGAAACCGGCCTTCACAGTGGCGCGGACTTGGTGGAAGGTGCGGGCTCCGGCGATGATGGCCATTGACGTCAGGTAGACGCTGTTTTGGATGGGGGAGACCTGTTGCGCGGGAACGTATTAGCCTGCGCCAATTGAAGCACCCCAAAAACTTGGGTGACTTACTACTAAATTGCTGACTAGGATCTGTAGGATCTTGGCCTTCAAGCTTGTTCGGCCGCGGAACAGCTTCTGGAGGATGTTGATCAAGAAGTGGCCCAGCGGCGCGCTGATAAAGGCACCGTATATCGCCATCTTCGGCACGCGCGACGTGAAGTAGCCGCCGTTCTTGTTGCGGTCATGCGCGATCCATGATGCGAGAAATTCTTGAAAGGCAGCCAAGGAGCCGGATGTGAGCATCTTCGTGCGGAGAGGGTTCGATTGGAGCTGTTGGAGATAGGCCTGCGCGCGCACAACGTCAGCTCCAGTACCCGTGCAGGCTCCAATGGCTTTCAACGCACAGCGAGATAGCCCTGGGCACCGCCGCCGCGCGTCAAGGCCGCGCCGACACTGTGGGCGAGGTCATGCTTTGCGTCGGTCGCGCCGGGGACATTTGTGGTCCTGAGCGTCTCTTTCTCGAACTTGACCGACATTGTGGGTGGTTGTCGTATGCAATCAGTGTACAGCGCTGTATTGAGTCGTTTGTACGCGCGGAGAACGTAGAGGGTGGAGAGCTACGAGTACGGGCTCAACGGAGCTGGTGATGATAAAGAGGCTGGGGTTGTTGTCCCTCGGCTGCCCCCGACGACTCGCCCTACTAGGCTGGGCATGGAGCTAGCGCCCCCGCAGGGGGGTGATTATTTGCGGAGTAAAACAGGTAGTGGGAGACCTCATCCGTCCTACGTGGTAGAGTACAACTCAGCAAGTCAAAGAAGGTCTGCAAAGTCCCAACTCAAGATGTATTCGAGTAAGGGAGCATTCAACTACTACCAGCGCTAGTATGGACATTATCTGGCTTATCTAGAGCTAGTATAGTATTGAAGCAAATCCAATCCACCTTCATTCTGAAGCAGGTTGCTGAAGCCTAAGCATTCTAGATAAGCTGGAACGTCTTCAGATCTACTCCGCGCTCCTTCAAAGCCTCTGGAAGCAGTCGTGGATCTGAATTCATCACTTCTCCCGTAACCTTGTTTCTGAACAGTGCAAACACAAGCGGATCGTCGGGTGTTCTGTCAGCTTGAACCCGTTCCCATTCTACAGGCAGGGAATCCAATCGTGGATCTTCTTCGGTAAGAACGCCGGTGGAGGAATTGTAGTAGCGTCCAAGGTAGATGCCACCAGACTCCCAACCAAGTCGTACTCTCCAGGGATTCGGCAAGCGACCAAGAAGGCTCTCCGAATCCATAAGACCATGGATGTAGCATTCACCGACGACTTGGTACTGTTCGGAGGACCCCAACCGCAGCAGCATTGGAGTGTTGCAACCTGGGAAAACGCATACACAATCCCCTGCTCCGATGATCAGTCCAACTGCTAAGGAATGCCTGTCTGTGTGTCAATGTTTACCTGGCTGTGCCCCTGCTAGGCCTAATCCAATGTATCCCTCCTCCGTCGTTACAAGGGTCCGTTTCCTGACCCAGTCATAATGGTGCTGGTCATTGATGGAACTTAAATCGATGGGACCTCTGGAGGCAGATATCTTCGTAAGGAAGAACTCTCTCGCCTCCTGCAGCGTCTCGTCTATACCATCTGGGAAGCGATCCTGTAGCAAATTCAAGTAGAGAGTAGACACGTACGCGTCCAGCATGCTTTCGCCTGTGACATAAGAACCCTCGCGTAGATTCTCCGGCTCCGATTTCCGAATTATATCAAATGTTCCCTCAAGATCAGGCGGAACTACTCGGCTGACTGTGCGGATGGTCGCACATTGAACTCCGGTCACCTCGAGAACGTCCGTGGGAAGGTATCTTGCGTGAGCGGAGGAAACACCACTAGCGAAGTGACTCGCAGCGAGATCCCAGCCCCCTCTTCGTACAGACCAATCGGGGATCCACGATGGCGCCTCAATCTGCCGTTCCGCCAGATTGCAATGTTGAAGCAGATCTAAGCGATGGACTTGATTGAGGTATGCTAGAAACACATCTTTGTACACCGCGGCTACAGACAACGAATATTGTGGACGAATTCTGCTCGCGAAGATGGGCGCTGCAATGCCCAACAGCCCGTACACCTTATCTCTTGGCTCTGAGCACAACCGGTTCCTAGCTGTACGAAGCAGATAAAGAAGAGGAAGTCCTAGCTGGTTCTGCGCAAGAGAGTTGAGCCAAGCAAATTTAGCTCTTGATTGGAGCGAGGGCAGATGTCTCTTGCTACAGATACCAAACACCGCTCGACGGAAGTCAGTCCGAGAATCTGATCATGTCCGCACTGCATCACGGCACGAGAGTTCGCGAGTTGGATCTCCTGCCATATCCAAAGGCGTTCGAACCATGAACGTTGTACTAGATCGTGCAAGGCGTTCCAAGTCTCTTCATCGTACGGGAGATCATAAAAAGAGTCACACCAATCAGGCTCCGTGCATTGAGGGCACCGAATCCGAAAGTAGTTTCGGGTTACCACCATCTGTGCTCCAAGGTATCGCAGTGTTGAAATTGCGAGTTTGCTGTTGCCTGTTTCGGGTCCGAGCCAAACCACAACTCGATAGGCCAACCTGTAGATGGTTGCCATGCGCTGAACCTGCTCATTACGTTCTGCAATATCCTCTTGATTGATGCACATAGCATCGATCCACAATACTCGGGCCTCGGCCTGGTACCGCAGGTGTCGCAATGCTGAAGCAAGGTTCTGCCCGATCTGGATTGTTGCAGTTATAGGGCCGCTCGACGGGGACAGACTGGCAGAACTCTCCACATAAGCCGTTTCCCGATTATCGGTCGAACCCCAAGTGTAAGATAAAGCCTCGTACACAGGTTGGAAGCCCGGATATGGAAGCTCCGGGCGAGGCTCGTAGAGAGCGTCATTGAAGCTCGGGTCGGGATGTGTCCACGTGGTACCGTCACTTTCGTCTTGATAAAAGATGAAACGTCCTTCAAGAGTCTCATAGGCTGTCCAGTCGGGTGGTAGTGTCTCGTGCAAGTCGTCCAGAGACATTCTTTGCGACGGACGCTCGTCCGGCATAATCAACGGAGTATGGGAGATCACAAATCGAATGTCTTCGCTGAACTCACCAGGTAACAACGTGACAAGCCGAATCTCTTGCGCATCTGCGTTAAGCTTGGAGTACTCGTATGGCAGCATGTTGATAAGCAAGTTAAGAAACGTGTAACAAGTAGAAGACCCCGAAGGAAAGCTTCGATGAATAGTGATACTCTGAGGCTGACTCTGTCAACAGACGGAACCGAATTTGCTTATATGCCGTCGTATCCAGCAAGGCTGAAAGTAAGATGACGTGTTCCTAATCCAGGACAACGGATCCATGACGGAGAATATGCAAGACAAGAACACCCACCTTGCACCAAGGCTCTCAGAATGATAGATCCTACATCAGGCATCCACCGCCGTGGCTGAAAAGTGCGGCATCAGGGCAAGAGAGAGGACGATTGGGACTGAGGTGCAGAGCCTCCATCACGTGAGCGTCCGCTCGCAGCCGACGGGTGCTCTAGTCTGCATGGTGGCTTCCCTGTGTTACAGTGGCTTCCCTGTGTTACAGTGTCTTCAATCCACCATTGGCCAGAACGCTGAGAAAGACGCGGTAGACGCGCTGCTGTCCATCCACCTCTTGATCCAGCAGCCTAAGAATACCTTGGCGCCATCTGCAGACCACTCAGCGGATGCGGCCAGCTGGTGTACTGTACCGTCTTTTTGCTGGGGGGTTTATCTCCCGGATCAGGACCCAGTTGGTTCAATGGAAGTTGCTTTCTGCATGTGAACCAACAGGACTTTCAACAGCAACTTGGACGAACTGAAATGCGGACCGCCCATCGGCTGCGTCTGATGCTGTACGTTTGCTACTCGTGTGCGTGCACCAATAATGGTTTTGCGGCCGCTTGTGGCGCTGCACAGCCCAAACCTAAGACTCAAGTTTCCTCTACAACGCAGCCTTGTGATCAGAGCTTCCGCCTGTTGTACGCCCAGTAAGCCTTCCAGGGCAACCTCCAATCCGTCCTCCTCAGACTCGTATCAAAGACGTCAAAATCCGCCTTCTGCAGCTTATCCAGCCACATCTGCGTGCTCACCGCCGGCATCAGTACTCCGAATGCCTTCTCTACGTCCTGCCACTGTGTCTGCGTCTGCTGTGCGCCGTATTCTCTCTCCATGCCCTGCTCCTCCGCATGCTCGAATTCATGCCCAGCCTCCTGGCCAGCTCTCAGGTTCTTCAACATCTCCCGCGCGGTGATGAGATGGTCATTCGCGCGCGTCGCGACCTCGAACACCGCGTCCCTGAGCCCGGGGGCAGCGGCGCCCTGCCGCAAGACCTCTTCTTCCTTAACGCCTGCGGCGGCCATGACATCTAGGGGGAGCAGGACCGCGCCTTGCCTCTGGCCTCCGAAGGGGGAACCGCCCAGCGCCCCTTGGTTGGAATGATGATTCGGCGGCGGCGGGAAGGCGAGGAGAGGCAATCCGCGTAGGACGGCGGCGATGCCTGTCGCTTTGCCGATGTGAGAAGCGAGGTGATCTGCTGTTATCGAAGCGAGGGGCAGAGCGGAGAGAGTCAAATACAGCAGCGTCGAGTACGTGTTCTCGGCATAGGTCTCCAGCGCGGAGAGGCTGGGGTACGGCGGGTTGGAGAGGTAGGCTTCGCGCGTGGAGATGATGCGGTGGAGCCAGTTTTTGCTCAGCTTCGATTTGTTGTTGGTGCGCGTCTGGAGGTTTAAGGCCGCCTGGGAGAGGAGGAGGGCGACGGGTTCTTTAGGGGGAGAGCCGGCCAGGGCTTTCGACACGGCGTCTCGCCAGAATTGCATGCGCATTGCGCCAACGGTGGGGTTGCTGGTGGCATCTGCTACACGGGCGACGTCGAGGTTGAAGGCGCGAAGGGCGATGTAGGCGTCACGGGCATGGGGTGGGATGAAAGTCTGGAGGGTGAAAGAGGGCGAATCATAATGTCTGCGTAACGATTAGGCCTTGTTCGTACAGTAAGAGGCATGGTTTACCGTAGGAGATTCGAGCAGTATGCCCGCGCAGACTGGATCTCAACCTCGGATGCGCCAGTCGTTGCTGGATTTCGGTAGCTTGGTGCTACGTATCCTCGCTGCGTACTGCGAGATGCTGGGCGAGATAGTCGCCATCTTGCTCTACGCGGTATACGTCCGTGGATCATAGAGATTGAAGTTCGAGGCGGGAAGTGGTGGAAATGCCGCAGGTTTATGCCATTACTCGGTTATTTGGCTGGCTGCAAAAGTGTGTCTCGAGGTTCGGACTATCTCTCTCTGGATACAAAATTATTTTAACGAAACAATGTTGGCTGTCAATGGATGTTACAGAATCCAGCGTCCAGCAGCCGTCAATGCCAAAGTGTCAGAACCAATGACGTCCGTGACCGCGCGCTCGGCGAAATCGACTCGCGTGCGGCGCGTCTTCCCCATCGACCATTTCTCTGCCTGCGGCAAATCGCTACAACCTCGCCGCCAGTGCAACTATGAGCTTTGCAGATGTCGACGAAAGACCGGCAAAGAAGCGTCGCTTCTTCCTAGACGAAGACTCGCCCATTGCTGACCACACACTCGACCCGGAACCCTCTCTTCCAGACGAGACCAACGCGCTACCAGAGACCTTACCTGATGCTACCGCAGCGAAAGAGACTGCAGAGACACCGAGCATCGAGCAAGATGCTGCGGGAGGCTTTGACACATCGCTTTTTGCAAGTGTTGTAGGCGAGCAAGTGCCGCAGTCGACCATTAAGAGGCTGCAAGAGCTCACTGGTGGCGATATACAACGAGGTGAGAATCTGGTAGAGGCTTTCATGGCTTGGTATACTAACATTTGCAGCTGTCAATGTATACCTAGACGGGTCATGGAAAAGCGCATCGCCACATCCACAGTCATCGAGACCTAACATCTCTCAGCAATCGCTCTTCGGTTCAGTGCAGAGGGTCAGCAATGGAACTTCGTCTCCAGCAAACAGCAGAGCTACGCCAGTCAAGCGGTCGCCGTCTGTTGTCGAGGTCCGGCCTCCGAAGAAGTCTATGCCTGAGAAGAGATATATCGGAGCTTTCGGCGTGGCGGGCTGGGCCACACGAAGCGGCACAGGGCTTATCAAGCACGATGAAAGAGTCGGTATCGAGCGGCACAAGATGCAGCCTAAGCTTGGAAAGGGCGGCAAACCTACAATCAGGAACCGGCAGGACATTGTCGTCAGGTTTACCAACTTGAAAGGCGAGGAGGTTGGAAGGCTCGAAAATGATTCGGCAGCCTGGATATCAGCATTGCTTGACCAGAAAATCTGCAAGCTCGAGGCTACCTGTGTTTTCGCGCCAGAGAGGATACGCACGAACGACACAATCTATCTGCAAGTACGCTGTTACTTCCTCAAGGTTGCTTTTGACGCTGCTGGATTCATCAAGCCGCAAGACAGCAACCGACAGACTGGAATTTTCGAGGCGAAAGAGACTCAGGATGAGCAGGCCCTGCGCATGCGCCAGGTGGCGTTGGTAAAGCTCTTTAGTGAGATTAGCCTGCACCCTTCGAGGGCGAACGAAACCACCGAAAAGCACAAGCGCCAAGGCCTTCTTCAAGCTGCCGAGATGGCAGAGCAGTACGAGCAAAAAGCTGGGTCAACGTCAGCAAAGTCCGCAGATACCGAAACCTCAACGCCCGCATCTGATGAAGAGGAGGATGGAAAGGAGCTGGAGCAAGATCAACTCGATACCCTCTACAAGAAAGCACAATCGTTCGATTTCAACACCCCAGAAGCGCAACCTGCTTCGACCTTTGTGATGGACTTACGAAAGTATCAGAAGCAGGCATTGCACTGGATGCTGAGGAAAGAGAGGGATGAGGAGTCGGAGCAGAAGGAACAGTCCATGCACCCATTGTGGGAGGAGTATGCTTGGCCAACAAAAGACGTAGATGGCAAGGATTTGCCGGGGGTAGCTGATTGCTCCAACTTCTATGTCAACCCATACTCCGGCGAGCTTTCCCTCCAGTTTCCGGTACAAGAACAGAATTGCTTAGGGGGCATTCTGGCAGACGGTAAGCCGACACCTACTACTGCCCATACGGTGACTAATGACATCCAGAGATGGGGCTTGGCAAGACCATTGAGATGCTTAGCTTGATACATTCGCATCGGCCTGACACACGCGGGCCGTCAACGGACTCGGACGGCCTGTCTGTACTGGACCTGCCAAGGCTTCCTAAGAACTCTTCTTCGGTTGAGCGAGCGCCACATACTACACTTGTTGTGGCCCCAATGTCCTTACTTGCGCAGTGGCAGAGCGAAGCCGAAAAGGCATCCAAGCCCGGCTCACTAAAGGTTATGGTTTACTACGGATCCGACAAGGCAGCAAATCTGCAGAACCTCTGCTGCGAGGCTAACGCGGCGAACGCTCCAAATGTGATCATCACCAGCTACGGTGTGGTTCTTTCCGAGTTCAATCAGGTAGCTGCAAACGGTGGCAATCGTGGCTCTCACGGCGGGTTGTTCTCGGTCGAATACTTCCGCGTCATCCTGGACGAGGCTCACTTCATCAAGAACAGGCAGTCCAAGACGGCAAAGGCTTGCTACGAGATCAGTGCCGTGCACCGATGGGTCTTGACTGGTACACCTATCGTTAACCGGCTGGAGGACCTGTTCAGTTTGGTGCACTTCCTTAGGGTCGAACCATGGAGCAACTTTTCCTTCTGGAAGACATTCATCACAGTACCATTTGAGTCGAAGGATTTTATCCGCGCTCTTGATGTGGTTCAGACGGTACTTGAGCCACTTGTGCTCCGTCGAACCAAAGATATGAAAACGCCTGACGGTGAGGCGCTTGTGCCGCTACCGCCGAAGACCATTGAAATCGAGGAGGTCGAGTTGTCGCAAGCAGAGCGCGAAGTGTATGATCACATCTTCACCCGCGCGAAGCGCACATTCAACGCCAATGTCGAGGCCGGCACTCTCATGAAGTCCTACACCACCATCTTCGCCCAGATCTTGCGCCTCCGCCAATCATGCTGCCACCCTATCCTAACCCGCAACAAGAACGTTGTCGCCGATGAGGAGGACGCAGCGGCAGCCGCAGACATCGCCAACGGGTTAGCAGACGACATGGACTTGCAGGCGCTCATCGAGCGCTTCACAGCCGAGCAGAGCGACCAAGACGCCAACAAGTTCGGGGCACACGTCCTCAAGCAAATACAAGCGGAAGCCAACGACGAATGTCCCATCTGCGCCGAAGAGCCCATGAACGAGCAAGCAGTTACAGGTTGCTGGCACAGCGCGTGCAAGCAGTGTCTACTAGACTACATATCGCACCAGCGCGACAAAGGCGACCTCCCTCGCTGCTTCAACTGCCGCGAACCCATCAACGCGCGCGACGTCTTCGAAGTCATCCGGCACGATCCCGAGCCCGAGGATGACGACGACGATACGCAAGGCCTCTACTCATCCGGCACCCGAACACCACGCATCTCCCTCCGCCGCGTCGGCAGCGCCTCCTCCGCCAAGATCGAGTCCCTACTCGCCCACCTGAAGCGCGAGCGCCGCGAAGACCCTCTCGTCAAAACCGTTGTCTTCAGCCAGTTCACCTCATTCCTCGACCTCATCGAAACTGCTCTTTCTAAGGCCCGGATTCCTTTCCTCCGCTTTGACGGCTCCATGGCCCAGAAAGCGCGCGCAGCCGTGCTGACCGACTTCACTGCGCGCAAGAAGGGTGTAGTCCTGCTGCTCAGCTTGCGCGCGGGGGGCGTTGGGCTCAATCTGACCGCTGCACGGAGCGTGTTCATGATGGATCCGTGGTGGAGCTTTGCGGTTGAGGCCCAGGCGATAGACCGGGTGCATCGCATGGGGCAGGAGCGGGAGGTTGTGGTGCGCAGGTTTGTGGTGAAGGGGAGCATCGAGGAGAAGATGTTGAAGGTACAGGAGAGAAAGAAGTTTATCGCGAGCTCGTTGGGGATGATGAGCGCTGAGGAGAAGAGGGTGCAGCGGATTGAGGATATTAAGGAGTTGTTGAGCTAGGTTGGTTAATTGTTTGTTTCTATGTCCGTATCATTTTACTGGCTTGCTACTTTGCGGGTTGTCGCTTTGGAGCTGCAGGGCATCAAGGACACTGAAGGCAGCTGAGCCGATTCAGGATCATGCATATTTTCACATACGTATTACTTTACGAGCTGGGTGCTTCAAAAGGAGTAGAGGACTAGGGATATCACGGAGCTACTGAGCTATGTACAGGCGCATGTACCGGTTTGTACATTTATACCAAGTTATGAGCTTATCCCTTCAATATCTGGTACTCTTTCGGCAGCATGACACAAGCTCACTGTGACATTGAAGGTCTATCTACCTACACACCAGCACGATAAACGACATTCTTGTCATCGAATCAACCCCGTACTCTAGCGGTGACAGCACCCTCAAAGCCAAGCTCACGTGAACAGCATCGGCAGAGAGAACCCTCACCCACCTCCTCACCTCGGCGGCCAAGCCCCTGGATACCCATACGCCTGGCCCGGAGCCGGTCCACCAGGCGGATACTGCCCGACCCACTGCACCTGCGGCGGCTGCCCAACCCACTGCCCAGTCCCCTGCATCGACCCCGGCGCGCCCACAACCACCGCGCCAGGCTGGCCCCCTACCCCCGGCCCAGCCGCCTGGGCACCGCTTCCTGTCTGCACTGCCGGCTGCTGCACAGCGTACTGCGGGCCCGGATACGGGAAATGGGTATACCCACCCCCAGGCTGGCCCTGTACCGCCCCCGCAGCCGCAGCTGCCATGTGCGGATTACCCGGCCCCGGTCCCATGGGCTGATACGGGATAGGGGAAAGGACGTTGTTGAAGGAGGGGTGGTAGAGGCTCTGGCCACATCTAGGCCACTGAGGTTGATCGATGCTGGGAGGTGGGTCGGGAGGCCGGGTGGCGCCGTAGGCGCCTGCGGTCCAGGTCCGGCGGGGACCAGCGTAGATGGGAGGTGGGATGCCCCAGGGGGGCGCGGTGGGGGTGTAGGGGGGCGGTCGCCAGTTGTTGTTTGACATTGAGGGAGGCGTCTGGGTTGGGATGGTTGTGTTGAGTCGGTTGATTGATAGCGAACCGATGAAGCGCTTCCTGGAGACCAGTGTGATTGACAACTGCAGCTCCAGCGGTATTTGTACTTCTCAGAGAAACGACGACATGATGGCGGGCTGCGCGCAACAACGTCAAAGGACAGCATATCGCAGCAGAAAGGTGAGTTGTTGAAGTACGCATCACAGATTCGCATAGATCAAGCAGATTCGCAGCGATCAAAACAGGATCTGGCTGAAAGCCCGTAAGTCGAAACAATGTCTTCAGCTTGTACACATCTTCTACTGTCTTCCGCGCGGTAGGGTATAGATACTCTTGGTCGGAAGACTGCGTTGACGGGATCCGCCTGCTGCTACGACCGTGCGCCTTCTGGATCTTCTACGGAGTGTTTGGCGTGTTGGAGGCTTGTGACAACGGAGAACTTTCTGCGAGGTTTGCACCGCTGGCCATATGTCTGCATGCTAGGTAATTCTGTCAGCCCCGCTCATACGTCACTAGATAACTCCAAGGTGCTGGCGGAAGTTATGTGGCATGTGTGTCCACGTATAGTGACTGAGGAAGAGCATTTCTCGACTATTTAACGTCTTTGACAGGGCGTTACGACTGCTGGCACCCCGGGCAGTCATTGGACTAAGGGATTGTAACTTACACAGAACCATGTATGAGCGACGAGTATTCCCATATCGCCCAAGGTCGTTCCACAGATATTGACCCGCGCACCCCAAAGCTCCAGGCCAAACCTCTTCCTCTCTAAATGCGTCCCATTGAGAGTGCTTCCCGTCGCTATAGCCAGACCAATAAGCGCCTGTAATGCATTCCAAAATGCCGCGCTATGCCCTTCACCCAATGTCCTTTCCTTCCACAGCCCGGTAAAATGTGCCGACAGTCCTCAGCCTCCCCTCCCCAGAATCTCCTCCCTCTCCATGACCTCCGGACGGAACCTGATCAAGAAAATCGTCTTTCCAGGCCACATCCCTCCGCCTCCTCCTCCACCGCCACCACCATCACCGTCCCCTTGCTCTTCAACCCCCACACTATGCGCGCTGACCCCTTCCGTCGCAAAGCCCGCCGCATCGCACACTCCCTCCACGATCCCGGCAACGTATGCCGCGCAGTTGAGCTGGCTCATCTCCTTCGGCACACTGATGTAAGTGTTCACAAGCGGTTCGTTATCCGTGACCATATAGAGCTCCTTCTCCGTCGCAGAGCGCTCGAGCGCGTCAGCCGGGCGGCCGAAGAGGTGGCGCCAGAGCGTCGTCGTGATGAACTGGAGAAGCGCCAGAATGCGTGTGGGTCGCAGCGAGGCAGTAGAGGAGCTACTAGACGACGACTGCCGGGACAGGAGCAAATCAAGCAGCTTGAGCCCGAGCGGGTAGCCCTGCGTATTGAGCCTTTTCTCGAGATCCGCAATCCCGGTCACGCGCTTTTGCGCGTAGCTGATCATTTCTACGAAGAGGTAGGCAAAGGCTGCGCGGCTTAGCTCGGCGCCTTTGCTGCGGTGCAGGTTGCGGTCGTAGATTGTTTTCTTGTTGGTTGGGTAGCGGAGGCCTGAGGCTGGCGGCGTGGGACGTGCCGGCGGCGCCGCGGCTTGCTGGCGTTGCTGTTGTATGACATTGGGAGGTAGTTTGTTCGGGGGAGGTGGAGGGCCGCTCATTGCGCGGATTTGGTACTGTCTTTTGAGAAGGTTGAAGTGTAAACTGCCCCGGTGAGGTGCAGTGAGGCTGGGGGAGGGTGGGGCGGAGTGGAGCGGAGATTTCACGGACCCGCCGAGCGATCCAATCATGGGGTGGTAGGTAAACATTTCGAAAGGCAATGAAGCCAAAATACAAGTCCTGATTTCTATCATCATCAATACACTGTAGAACTTACGCAGTCAAAATTCAAGTCCCGATTCCCATCATCAGATTTATGCTGGCCTCGTTGCTGCAAAGAAGCGCACTGCTTCTCCTTTCCTGTCAACGCTTTGAAGCTTCATGCAGTCAGAAATCACGTCGTGGATTTCATCGTCGTCAAACAATCAAGTCTGCTCGTCTTCAAGAAGCGCCATCCTTCTCCTCCTTAAGCCTATACGTCGCCGCCAGCCTCATATTTAGATGATCCCTTGCAGTCAACACCCTTCCCTTCTCCCCCTCCTCCCCTCCTCTCCCCTTATGCTCCACCACCATTCTACTCGGCACTCCCTCCAACCTCGCCTCGTCCAACGGATGACAAAAATACGCAATACTATACCTATCCTCCCCGCCCCTCCCATCCTTGGGAAAGATGACACGATGCACCGTGCTCTTCAATAGCCCGTTTGTCCAGTAGCTTAGCAGATCTCCGATATTGACGAGGACAGGCGGGACGGCCTGGTTCAGCGGGTTAACAGGCACGGGCGCCCATGTGTTGGAGGGGGTGAGGATCTCGAGACCGGGCTGGGAGGGGAGCTGGAAGAGGAGGGTGATGCTGCCGTAGTCGCTGTGGGCGCCGGCGCGGATGTCGAGGGTGGGGTTGTAGGAGTTGTCCTTCAATGCCGGGTACTGTGGATATTGCATGACTTAGCAACTGGCTAGGAATGCGGGAATGATGGGCCGACGTACGTAGAGGAGGCGGAGGACGCTGCCTGAAGGGCCTTTGGAGCGGTCGTGGCGGTCGGAGAACCAGCGGGAGCCGCCTTGCGATGGTGGGATCTGCGGTGAGACTAAGCTTGTAGACGCGTAGTCTGGTGTATGGCAGACAAACCTCTAGTGCAGTTGCGAAAAGTTCCAGTATCTTGTTGCACAATGCGTGGCACTGATCGGCGAAACGGCCGATAAAGGCTTCTTCGTCGGCCAGCGGCGCTGGTAGCGGCTGCTGCGCCTTGCCATCTACAAATTCGCCGAAATTGAAAGCTCTAGAGATTCTTCAGTTTTCGGAAGATCTATGCGGAAGGTCGATGCTGACTCTTTGAAGTCTCCCCGCTGGATCTACGTCAGCCATGGTATTCTTCCAGGCGAGCTGAACAAGCGGCCATTGCATTGGCGAAAGGAACATAGAAACTGGTGTTCAACACAACATACTCAGACAGTCCGGAGTTTGTGCGAAAGCAGCAGGAGTAAAGGAGCTGGGCAGCATTTTTAATTGGCAGCAGAACACTTAATCATTCACGCCTTTCTTTTCCTAGGATAATGCGATGACCGTATGACGGCGAACGAGAGCATCTGGCTTGCATCGACATGTTTGTCAAGCAAAATGCCTACCTTTTGATTTCCCGGATCTAGAGTTTCCGTGTGCATTGACAGCCAGCCGCGATTCTTTCCTGATTTACTCGAATGGATAGAGCACTCTGCCTTCACATCGGTTGGCAAACTGAAGAAGTCCCGTGACTCCGATGCGGTCAGCCCGTTTCTCTGAGAGGGTCATGGTAGTGGCCATACTAGTCCGAACATCCGTTGTATGTCTGCCTGATCGAACGCATTGTTTTCATTCGAGACGAATACGAACCCATATCGGGAAGCTGCATCTAGGATCTGCTTTGCCACTCCAGAATCCGCGGATGATATGTCTATGACCGGAAGGTCCAACTTGTCGCCATTAGCGGTAGCCATCCCCAGAGTTGCTCTTGAAATGCGAAGATCAGGGCCGTATTGGCAGGGAGATCGGCTGCAGACTTGTATACGGAAGGAAGACCTAGTTTCCAGGACCAGACGCTGGAGCAACTAAGTACGGTTGATCTTCATCGCTCCCTGGTTGATTACTGATAGGTGCTTCCTGTACGCCGAATAAGGTTTCTCGTGAGGTTTATCTATCGGGGGTATCGGGTGCTTGACGCACGTGAGGCGGCTCTTCGATGTGTGAAACTGTAGGGCTGAAGCGTACTAAGCAGATTTGCTCTAGGTAGCCACGGCTCAGGCGCGTTCTCCCGCACCGGAGCTAGGTACCTGGGTACAACGTTCGCGACTTTATTCTGACTTCAACTCCGGGTTGCATACCGCAGCAGCGGCGCAAGAACAGGTGAGTAGACGTTCGTTAATAAGACAAAGTACTATACTCGCTGTCACTATATTCGCTTTAGAAGAAGCCGTCATCGCGTGACGAGCCTTACGTCTAGTATTTCTAGTGCCACACCGTGAAGAGCGTTCACTGTACGTGTGATCACTTCGTACTGTTCGCGATGCGCTAATTACCACACCAGACCACTGCGGACATGATCAACGGCTTCGAGGAATGGGCGACGCCGCTGTCCGAGTGGTATGGAATCGAACAGCTCAGCGGCGCCGTTGTAGCCATCGAGGCTGCGGACTACCTCAACAGCCTCATTCGGAACCCCAATACTATCGAGGCACTTCTGCCAGCGCTCGGCGGTCTTCCTTTCTCGCTGCGTGGTTATGTACTCAAGGACGTCAGCATCTTGAGGAGCCATGGCATAAACCCGGTATTCGTCTTCAGCGGTCTCGACGTGGGCAAGGACGACAACAAGCGGGATGCTGCGTTCCGCGCTTCGGATGAGGCTGCGCGCATCCATGCCAGTGCCTGGCTCCAATACGACCAGCACAAGCCAGAAGAAGCCGTCAAAACATTTAAGGAGTCGGGTACGCAGGAAGAGGCGGCGCGTATTGTAAGAGCATTGGCTAATTTATTCTTAGCGGTTGTGAAGCCTGAGGATCTGTTCAGATACCTCCAGAAGATATTGCGTGAGGCAGGAGTACCATTCAAAGTTGCACCATATAGCGCATTGGCTCAGGTGAGTAACTTCATGCATTCAGCGGTAGCTGCGGTGATCTAATAGCCATGGAAGCTAGCGTATCTCGACAAACATGCCGGCAAATACGTCGACGCCATCGCTGGATCAACCGAGCTGTTCCTTTACGACGTAGACAAAGTGATAACTGACCTTGGGTCCCGAATGGTCGCCGAGGGTGGGGATCCGGGAGAGCTCACATCCTGTCTGGAAAAGGGTCAGATTGTTGCGCTGCGGAAGCACTCGTGCATAACGGAGTTGGGCAATATTCCTTCCGAGGTGTTTGTGGACGCGTGCTTGCTCTGCGGAAACGCCCTCATACCTCCGATCCCGCAGCTTGGCGTCAACTCGCGTCGAAACAAGCCGAAGATCCAAGCGGCTGTCGATTTGTTGATGAATACTCCGGGCCGCGACGGCAACTCTGTATGCTCCAATTACCAGGACGACCCCCAATTCCGGGCAATGCAATATCAAGACAAATACCGACGCACTCGACTCGCTATTAAGCACCATGTTGTCTTGACTGCTGAGGGCAAGGCTGTGCCACTGGACGAGCAAGAGGCGCCGCGTGACGTTCATGAGTTGGTCGGCCAGCAACTGCCGGAAGAGATCTACTTCTATCTTTCCAAGGGCGTCATCGGTCCGAGAGTCTTAAACTGGCGCTCGTCTGGCGAGATCATTGAGCTAGCGCCGCTGGATGGCGGCGACTCGCCGGAGTACCGTAAACTCGTTCTCGACCAGCTCACACCGTTAAGGACATCCGCGCTATCACTTCTCTCATACTCCCTTCACCGCTTCTACCAACACAAAGACGTGACTTTGTACTGCTGGTTCGATCAGGGTACTAGCAAGGTCATCAGTATGAGGGACCTCACAGACCCCAGACCGTTAGTTGCAAAGTGGAACGTCAACGCGGACCTCATCCAGAAGCATGTCTTGGCAACAGTAGGTGCCCAGTATTTCTATGCATTGTCATCCTTATTGATTCTCGATGTTCAGCAATCCTTGGGCTTGATCGGGAGTACGGTATGCAGTCTCAAGAACAAAGAGTTTGCCAGCCAGACAATTACCACTAAGGATCCTCATAACGTAGGTCTTTCTCTCTTATCCCTTGGAGCCCGAGACCAGCGACATGCGTAGACCAAATGCGGACTATACCGGAACCATCGCGGTTTGCTAGCGGCCTGTCAACGGACTAGTCCGGGACATTGAGGGCGTGTTCAGCCGCAACGCGTCTCTTGGTATAGTGCCGTGGTCAGAATCGGCTCTCTTCCACACATTTCCACTCAAGGCAGACCTGACGATATCTAGCTCCTTGCAACCAAAAACGAGATCATGTGCAATGCATTTTGGCGCTTCCTCCAGCTCCGAGAGTACACAGACACGAAGCACCAGCTGACGCCTTGGGGGGAGGTCCTGGAGGCGGCAATCAGCGCACTCGGAGGGCGCAGTGAGCTCGACGAAGCAGTGTTCATTGCAATTGAACTTGCCCGACTGGAACTACTGGGTGCCAAGGACATGTTTCCTCAAAATGCCGGCGCTTCGCTACATGCCGACAGTAAGACAACCTGCCTAGACAAGCTTGGCAATGCTGACATCTTTGCAGAGGTTGATAGGCGAAACACGCTTATCGTCTCCCGAATCGCCTGTCTTGGCAAGCTCAGCCATGCGCCGATTGGATACACCGGACCACTGAGCAGGCATCTGCTGGCATACCACTCCATGATTACTGCCGTGCGCAGCAGTCTACGAGACCTAGCGGAAGTGTCCCTGGTAACGATGCTGCTGAACGGAGATGCCCACCGCGGCGAGCTGCCTCACGGACGCAAAGACTACACCGACCTCGGACTTGAGTAAGCATCACACCAAATCCATAGACTTCATCATATGCTGATGAGCTAGGCTTCCCTTCCTACTCGACAACGATTGCGGACTAGGCATTGCCGTCCAGACATACCTCGATGAGCTACAGAAGTATCCCGACCCTACTTCTGCTGAAGCCCGCGCTGCGAGCAAGGGGAAGGCTCCCAAAGACTACTTCCCGCATGCTATCGATCTGTCTAGGGATCTGGACTCTGCGTTTCTTCTCTGGGATGCTGTGAGTGCGCCCCCTCTGCTTTAAGTTACAGATGTCTAACAGGAAGTGAACAGGTATATGCGGGCATGAAGAAGGCCGTCGAGCACAAATTAGTGAAGGAGGGTTCCATGTGGGATGATGTCAACAAGTGGCTTGCGAACAGGAGATGAGCGGTTTTTGCGAGATACCCAGCAAGGTTCCACGGATTACGGCGGGGGGATGGAGTTCTCCATCGTGTGTGCGAGCTACAGGGTCACGTGGGGTTCTGTTCATCAGCACGTCTCGAAGCGCTTTAACACTTGGCAGTACAAAGGGTTCCGGGGCGTACAGAATGTAATCCAGTGGTCCGGTTCTACGCAACGGACCCAAATTCCAGCAACATCCGAGTCAAGTTGCGCGGACTCTTCTGCCTGCCTCTACTAGAAATGGGATATCAGAAATCCAACCCCAATTAGTAGGCACTCTTTGCCGCAATGCTGCTTATGCTTCACCTTGTAAAATATCTCCGTGTACGTTGTTCCACCGTCTCGTCCATCCCAATCCTCAGACGGCACTCTAAACATGCCTCGAATCCCCGAACTTGCCGCAGACACCGCTCGGCCGCTTCGCACTTTTTCCGGTCCCGATATATACTGCTGGTTCCAAAATGTGCGGCCAGTTTGGATGAACTTCAACCACCCCCCCC